TTCCTGGAAGCCATCTACAACCTGGTAGAAATCAAACACTGTGGAGAGACAGAAAATATTAGATTTTTTATTTCATTTTTACTGATTATACTTATGTAAACTGTTGCATAAACTACACATACCAAGGTGCGCCCTGTCTGAGACAATTAGTCTCTTGTCCCAGCCTTTGAGTCCTGGTTAGAGAGCAGAAATCACATCAATATGAGAACAAGCTAATCTTCATTTACACCAGTACATTAGCCTACTGTAGGTGTAAAGTGTATTTTTTTTAGAATACCTTTCTTTTCATTTTTATCACCTTCCTCAAACAAGCCAGGTAGATGAATGACCACTCCATTACCTACAAGAGCAAAATTGAGTTGACAGACTGAGGAGTAATATGATGCTGTCTCTATAAGCTCTGAAGATTAAAACCTTTACCAATGAGTGATATGCTCTTGGGGTTGATGATTCCACTAGGGAGAAGGTGGAAGTCGTACTCCTTGCCATCCACAACCACTGTATGCCCTGCATTGTTGCCCCCCTATAAATTAAAGCAGAGAACATAATGACCATGAGATACCGTCAATGTACTGATGATGATTTAGTTTGATGTCTTATCTTTGAGACAGCGATAAAGCCCCCTCTTCCCTATTCACTAAGCTTTTCCAGCACTTATTTCAACAGGTTTGGCTTGTGGATGGTCCACTCTGGCTCCCTGGCTAAGAGCTGCCCTTCTCACATATCAAACTACCCTGAGAATTTGACCCTGCTCTGAGCGGGTGCAGCTCTCAAGCCTCCAGAATGCCGTGCGCTAGTCCTGTCAGTGGAGAAAGTACAACACAGCAACTGTTGGCAGGTTTCACTGTGGGTCCAGCTTCTGGAGTGACCTCTGTTTTCTGACCAGTGTGTTATGTGCCTGACCTGTCTGGGATTGTTTTATTACAAACTATCTGAAATTCTGTCTTTTCTTTTGCAGTCTTTTTGTGATCAGTTTGGTCAGAGCAACTTTACACCAGGTTTAGATGGAGCTAAATTGCACTTGCTTATGCAAAAAAACAGAAAGACATTTGGCTTTCTACCTCTGTAAAATGCTTTAAATTTGAGTTGAACGACCACACTTCCCGTATTTCGTGACTGAAGTCCTTGGGTGCACGGTGGTGAGCCTACAGTAGTACTCAAAATTGTTTGCTGTCATAGTCAAAAAGGATGAAATCACTGCGGTGTAAGTGTTCTCACTCTGTGCAGTTGTTGGCGCTTCACCAGCCCTTCGGTAAATGTCAGATTCCATTGTGAGGTATCCAAGTAACACAAAGTGTCGTTCAGCAATAATTCAAGAACACACCCCAGTGAAATAGCACAAATCACAAATCCAAAAATTTACCTGACATCTGCAGACAACGTCAGCCTCGGTTGCCAATAAATCAACGACTTTTCCTTTGCCCTCATCCCCCCACTGCGCACCGAGCACCACCGTCACTTTGTTCCCCACGTCACTGCGCGAGCGCTTCTGTCCAGTCGTGGCCGGTTGATTTGTGCTTTTGTGATCTTTTCCCGACCAGGTGAGCGACATGATGGCGGTGGCTCTAGGCTGTCTGTCTCAAGCAGACTACACTGTCTCTAAGCGTAGTGTTGGCATATCAGTAACTTCAGAGCCTATGATGTCAGAGCCAGACGCACACAAGTGCGTGGCTGTGCTCAGGGAAGTTGTTTCCAGGCTGCTGTAGCACTGAGCTGACACAATCTTCAAGAAACAATACACAAAAATCACCGGGGTGCATGGCCGTCAATTCCTAAAAGCCTATTATCCACTGTAGCCTGCATGATGTGGCTTTTCAAATTGAATGATTTCCTCATTACCTCTGTTGATTAAAAACGAGCAGCTGAACAGTAAATTCACTTTTATTAAAATATAAAGTTACGTTACAGTTGGTTATATACTGCCCCAGTAGTTCCTGTTTAAGATCAGCTCGATAATATATAAAGAAATTAAGACATTATTCCAAACAATTGTTACGAGTTAAACGTCATATTATATTGCACCAAACACTATTTCTTTCCATGGGTGCTTAAAGATAAATTATATATTATAGCAAAACACATTCACTGAATATTACAACAATTATACAAAACATATAAAGCAACTTTTTGGAACAGTTCAAAAAGTACAAAAACACTATAATTAATTTATATTAATGTATCATGTTTACAGCCATGTGTACTCTTCATCTGAAGAAACACCTCATTGCAAAAGGAAGACTTCATCCTTTTAAACCAGTCAATGTTCATGTAGCTCCACAGAATAAAATATACCGTATTCTTCCAGTTCAGAACGCCTGTGTGAAATTAACATTTTCTTTTTCCTCTTGATTTTCTTTTTCTGGAGACACCTAGGGAAACAGAAACTAAAATGAATAGACAGAATCAATGATATTTAAATTTTTTTTTATACCATTGCAAGTTAATACATACACAGCTGGACAGTTGTTGCCTCAAAAGCTCTTGGCAGAGAAATCTATGCACAATTGTTTAACTTGCAAGGATTACTAAGTCTATTTTAAAATGTTTTAAATGTGGTGTTTTGCGATAAAACATTTTTAATACATTTACATCAAATGCAGTATCTTTCATCACAGTCAGATTAACAAAGCACAGTTTACAGGATGCACACGAGACTGTGTTAGTAGTAAAACAGTCCCAGTTGCAGATTTAGGGGATGAACAAGAAAATATGGAAAGAGAAAAGACACAAAAGTGACAGCTTTCATGAAACAACTCAGTCCACAATGATTTCACAAACTGCAAGGCTGGTTGAGCGCTGAAACGTGGTTACTTTGCTTAACCACTGATTAACTGCTGTACATTATTAGCACTTTCAGGACTAGTTTCCCTCAGGTCTGATGTAAATTAGAAACACCTCAAGAGCTGTGCATTGGCTCAAATGCTGTTAAGAATTTGGCCTGATAGGTTCTGAATTGGAAAATTGTTAGCAAGTGTTAAAAGCTGGACAACACAGACAAATGAAATCCAGATTCCAGTTAGACCAACAAATGACACGTTATTTGGAACAAAGCTTCGACGGTGACTGAGCTCATCAAGATGACGGTCCTGCTTACTGTTTGCTATCACATCGACTTGACCTACCTCACTGCAACACACAGCTTGTTTTATGTTTAGTGTGTCCTTTCCCACTGTTGCCTTGTGTTTCAGAGAGTCAGAATGGAAAACAGAGCATTCAAACAAACTGACCATCGATTAAATTCATTCAATATTAAATCTACAAAATCACTGCATAACATGCTCTTTCATAAATTGCATGTAATCATGCAAAACACTTTGAATATTTACTAAAATAGCCCATACATAAAATCCAAAATGCAGGAATAAATAAAACAAATAAGGATTTCCCTTTAAGACACACCAAGAAACTAGTATTCCAAACATGATCTTTATTTAACTGAATAGATGGATTACCTTGATTACTCTTCTTTTTGCTTCGTTTAAAGAGACTCTTCCATTTCTTTGGTTCAGGCTTAAGAGATGGAAGCACTGCTTCAGACACTGACGACGGCTCTTCTAATTTGAGTCCATCTGGGATGTCACACACCTCGATGCACTCACCGAGTTTGGTCAGACTGCTTTTAAGGTTCGACTCTTTGTGACTCACAATCTCATCTTGGCTGGACGTTTGAGCAACAGTGCATTCTGGTTCTTCTCTGCCCTTCTCTTCTCTTACAGTCTCTGTTAAAGGGCTTATTTTATTACTAGTTCCACCTTTCCCATCTTCCATTATATGGCTTTCACTACTCTGCATCACATCAGTGTCTGTATTAGATAAATGGCTTTTCTTGATCTGAACATTCACACTAATATCTATTGGCTCCTCAGGCAGCAGCTTCTCTGGTACCAGGCTGGAAGTGCTGTCTAACACAGCATCTAGCAGGTCAGAATCTGAGGGAGAAAATGGGCTGAGGATGCTGGTCTCAGCTGAATCTAATGAAAAGCCATTTGTGCTGAGACACGGTTGATGTTCCCTGTCAACCTGAGGAGGCATCATACTTAGGGATGATACTGCAGGTTTCTCCAGGTGTTGCTCCACCTGCAGTGACACAGGTCTCTCTAGGGGTGCCTCCGTCACAATGGCTGGTTTTCCTGGGGGTGTTCTGGGAGATACAGCTGCTGCGTCTGGCACTGTTTTCTGTGCTGGTGGAGTCTCTTCTGATGGGCTGATGAAGCCGTTCACTTCGCCTGCGCTGGCCTGGTGAGCCTCTGTCTGAGGTTTGGTGGGAGCGGAACTGGTGGCCATGTTTGCGGCTTCTTCGTCTACAGGCTTCACACTTGATTCTGAGGGGGAGAAGTTGATAGTAATGATGCGAATGGTAAATATATGTAAAATGGTGATTTTTAAAAATGCACAAAGATGCATGACAAAAAAAAAAAAACTCCATTTAACTAAAGGCTAAAGTAGCTCAACAAAGCAGCAAAGTGATGTAGCTAGTTTAGGGAGACATGAATGGTGTTTAAGCATAAAAGAAGAAGCTTAGATAAAGCAGCAAGGCTGTGCTGTAGCTCAGGAGCGGAACTAGAACTGCGGATGGAGGCCACAGTCTCTTGTCCTTACCAGGCGCGCTGGTATCCCTATGTATTTCACTAGAAGGGAGGCTTTCCGAATCGCACCTGGGCCTGGTCTTTCTTAGGCTGAAACCTTTCCTGATATCCGCCAGGAGGTGGTCGATAATGCAGCCATCATTCTGTGGCACAATGCCTTTCCTGACTGGTAAAAGCAGGGTAAAAAGAAGGCTTAAAATACACACCATTCAAATCACATCTTTGATAGGAATTTCTGGTACAGTGAGTAACAGAGGGTTTTCACTACTTACTAATTTTCCCATTCTCTCCCCTCTGTCTCTTGGACTCTTCCTCTGCCAGCTGCTTCTTTCTCTTCTCTGCCTTGGCTGCCTGCTCTTTCATGGTTTTGTTTTCCTGTTATAAAAGAGCTGTCACTCAGTGCCAAATGTACGACAGTCATGATCCAAAGACAGCAGCACCCCTATAAACAAGAGGGAAACTATACGCATAGTCAAAATGGCCAACATCAACAAAGTATCTCCCTAACCTTCAGCGACTTGATGAAAAGTTCTCGGAATGTCCTGATGGTTCCGAAGAGTTCCTCAAGTGACAGCTGATTAGCATCTTCACATAAGTAGACAGCCAGCTCACTCCTCTTCTTCTCGATCTCAGTGAACCTTTCATTTAATACTCGGCATGCCTCCTGTCCTTCCTTAAAAAGAGAAAACAAAGGCATTTGGAATGTGGAGCTGGCTGCCAAAACTATTACTGAGTAACCCATATTGACTGTTTGCAGACAAAGCAGAGGTCATCCTCTTACCTCAAGAGCTTTTGCATATTGCTCTTTCACCTCATCCACAGAGTTGGAGACCTTCCTGGCTGTCTCGTTCAGTCGTTTTAGTAAGGAGCTGGCTTCTGACTGGACAGAATCCAGTTTAACTCTGAGGACCAAGTGTAAAACAGGTTATGTGTCTGTTATAGATCCACTTACAGCCATTTGAGAGAGTAGAACACAAGCTTGTGGAGATGTAAAAGGTTTCTGTACCCTGCTGCTTTTTCACAGATCTCTATATCCTCTGGCAGTGCCAATAGCTCTGGGTGTTTTGCCTCCGCTTCCTTTGCAAGAAAAGTCACAAAATGGGGTAATTAAACATGTTCATGACCGAGGAGTGGGGGGCTGACAGCTGTGAGCGAGTGAGTTTACCTCCAGGATGTGGTGAAGCAGTGTAATGCGGCTCTTGTTGGCCTTGGTCTCTGTGAGCTTGAGCAGAGAACTGATCTTGAACCCTTCTGCATTCCCCGTGTGACTTCCCTGGAAGCAGACCAATGATTAGAAAGGCCCGTCAAAATGTCAGCATAAGATATACGAGACAAAAAGTTTCTTACATAGTTGAGAAAATTTCCAACATCAAGGATGAGCCTGCAGAAACTGGGCATGAGTGTACTCGTTCTGAGAGCTGAGAAATTTGTTACATTGTGTTAATTTGATTATAAATGACCAGAAAGCATGAGAGCAAAAGCCTTATTTCAGGAAAGCAGAGTAGAAGGACTTGGCTTTACTTACACTGGCAGGCCTCCTCAACCAGCTTGACTTTAGGACTGAGCATGTCCAGTACTGAGGAGGTCTCCTCACACAACAACATACACTCAATCCTCAAATGATAACTGGGGAGACAAGCCAGAAAACAAAAGTTAATATAGAGCTAAAAATGCTGACATGCACTGGACTGAAAACATTAGAGATAAGCACACACATAATTAACAGTTAAAACAGAACTGGGATAGAAAGTTACCACGGCACAGTCAGGAGGGCAGTGTAGAAGCGGTCGACATTTGACAGCTTGTCCTTTTCTCCTTGGAAAGACTTTAAATTTTCAATCTACACCAAGGCACAGACAATGACTTACAATGTTATTTTAAGTGGAGGCCATTAATTGGCAGATAAATGTGGCTAATCTTAATGGTGATGCAGAAGTTTTCTAACCTCATGCTTTTCTGGTAGGAGCTTTAGCAGCTGCTTTAGCACCTCTACATCAAAACGACTACGGTCCCCGTTCTGAATCATGGATACAAAATCCTCACTTGTGCTGGACAAAGAAAATGAAAAATGTTGAGCTGTGAAAATAAGCCAAATTCTATAAAAATACTGTAATGTGTAATTTCTCACCATTTGAACTGCTTTAGAAATATATTCACATTCAGGCTTTTCTTTGGATCAATGAATGTAATCTATAGAAAAAAAAAAAAGATGTGTCTGATTATTCAGTTGTGATAATTAGGTGCCTTTGTTCTGAGCGCTGCAGCTCTGAGGAGCAGTGGGAGCGGTGACAACGCACACCTCTTTTGGCTCCTTCTTGACAGGAGCAGCTGACCCCTTGTCTTTGTCTTTGGTCACTGGGAGACAGAACAACTGCTCAATACTGCTGTAGTCCGGCTCCCGAGGAGGAGGCTCTTTCTGAACTGAGGCCCACATGGACTGAGCATCTGTGTGTGGAGGAAGACAGTAACCTCCCATGAGCTCATGTGACTCCATTTTGTACCAACATCCCACCGTGGCTCACAGCCATTTCATGTTCCTTCTGTGAATAATATTTTGATAGGCAAGCTTTTCTTTACAAATAGAAAAAGACTGAGTGCTTTAGCATTAGCACAAGTCAGCTTTACACACTCAAGCCAGAGTTTGCTTCATAAGTTAAATGACAGATTGATGTCGAAAGTATTTAGATTAGATTCAACTTTGTCATTACACATGTACAAGTACAAGTACAAGGCAAGGCCTTCTCACTCACCAGTAACAGCACGAAGCTTCTGCCAGTTGAGCTTCTTCATTCTCAGGGAGGGACATCGGCTTGTCTTTGCGGGTGTGCTGCACCCCAGGACCTGACTGGTCTGAGCCACTATCATACCTGGGGGAGGAGGCGGCATACCAGGTAAAGGAGGGGGTGGCGGAGGTCCAACTCCCATCCCTTGTAGGGGTGGTGGAGGTGGTGGAGGAGGCATACCTGGACCACAGGGAACTGGTGGTGGCAGAGGTGGCATTCCAGGCAAGGGAGGAGGTGGAGGGGGGCCACTAAACATTACAGGTAGCAATGGGGGTGGAGGAGGTGGCGGAGGCGGCGGACAAAGGTTTAAAGGTTGGAGCCCAGGCATACCAGGGGGTAGAGGGGGTGGAGGTGAGGCACAGAGTGGCTTTTGAGGGGATGCTGTATTTTTGTCTATTGTCTCTTTGTCCTGTTGATCCAGGTCAGTCTGCACAGCCTTGTCTACTTTCATTCGCTGGCCGTCCACTTCATGATGACCGTCCCAGCTCTTGCCTTTTGAGAACATCAGCCGCTGCATGATCCTCTCACAGGACTCCATCTGAGCTGAAGTACAAATACAAACCAACACACATGCACACAAGATGTACTCCAGTGAAAACTACTTCTCTCACTAAAACAGCAGCTTTCAGACATCCTGTCATCTGCTGCCTCTAGTGCATTGCTGCTATCTGTTTTTCTGGATAATCACTCATTAATTATTGAGGAGGCCATTAGCCTCTTCAGAGTGTTGACCTGAAGTACATGTACTGTTGTGTCAGTGCTGACTCACAGTCCTGGGCCAACAGTATGGCTCTATTAGTGATGGTTTCCAGAGCCTGCCAGATATCAGAGCGGCTCGGTCCCAGAACCAGTAACGTCTGCAGAATGGACAGCAGCTGGAGAGAGGCAGGATAGCTGCTCACCTGCGCACACATAAACTGGGGATATGTGCCAGCTCCACAAAAATGTAACGCAATAAAGACAATAAAATATGAGTCTCCAATTTACTGGACTGTCTTAGTTCTTAGATGACAAAGCCAGTCAGTCCTCACCTCATTGAAGAGTGTGGTGAAAACCTCCAGGTGATTACTCATATCAGTGCCTCCATACATTCGCAGCAGCTCCTCCTCATCTTCAGCCATAGCCTCTTCAAAAGCTTCACACTGAATAATCAAGTCTTCATCCTCCTGCTCCCTGTGCACCACACACGCACAGATCACTGCTGGAATGCCATTTTTATCTTTTCAAAAACATTGACAGGACCTTTGCTCAAATTACTGTTATTAATGGGCACATACTGCACACGTCTTTTCCTAAAAGCCCTGCTCTACTTACAGCTATTATGGACTTTAACCTCTAAAGTCATAATACATTTATTGTATAACATCTGAAACAGAGATGAGGACAACATCAATTCTGAATAACAAAAGGAAAGCTCACCTTAACTTTGGCAAAATATCAAGCAACTGAAGCCCTGCAAGACAACAACAAAACAGCCCTGAATGTCTTATCACAGCACTCAATTATCAGATGGTAAGAAAGTTGGTTGAAAAAAAGAGTCACATGTCTCCTAACATTGGCATATGTTAGTTTTGGGGATTTGGGAGGAAGACACAGGTGGGCAATCACAAAAGAGGAGTGGCCAATCAAACAGCTGATTGGTCCAAGCTGGTGGGTGGAATTTTAAAAGAACTTTGGAGGGGGGTCATGCAGCCTATTAGCAGTGACTGTAGGGAGAGAGACTGAGGTTAATGATGACGAGTAAAATCTTTGATAAAATTCTGTTTAATTTACAACTTTGTAGGCTGGTGTTGTTAGCCTGCTAGCCCCTACATGCTATGTTTACAACCATATCCACAGAATTGCTTGTTTCTTTCTTGCTTTTGGCCACACCGCATGAGGAAATTTCACCAGTTGGATTTTGATCCGACTATATGTACACATGTATGGTTGGCTAGAGGTTTCATTCAGATGGCTCACTTTCTCACATAGCTATCATCAAGTCACATTAGCTCAGGGTGATTTAATTAATGTAGCTTAAACTAAAACCTTTGATTGTCACTAGGTATGTTGTAAACTGCATGAACATATAGAGCTTCCTACACTTGAGACTGACTTAGTTCTGAGACATTTTGTCAAAGTTATAATCAGGACTTTAGACCTATTCTCAGTCAGACCCAGTGACAGAGATATTTGTAACAGAGCTCCTACCAATGGCCTGCTTTCCCCTCTGCATTCACTTTCAGCACAGAGGGGAAACACTGTTGTGCTAACAATGTACCACAGTGTGACCTTGCTTATGGTGGGACTCTAGTCTCCTGACTGATTGCTAAATAGAGAGCCTACCAATAAACTCCTTTCTCATCTTATCTCTCTGCCTGAGGTCATCTGTCCCGAAGATGAGGGCGTTGATGACACTGAGGAGTGTGACCATGTAAGGGATGTTATCTGTGGCCTGCAGCTCATTCATGATCACACTGAAGCGATACTGCTGTGTCTTCACGCCCTGAAGGGGAAACCAAAGTCAGTGTAAGTAAGCAGTTCATTATCATTAAGGAATTGTGATTCGGCAACAATTAGGCATGCAGCCCACCACTAGAGGAGATTATTAATTAATTTATTGCTCAGACTGGTAATGTAGGATCACGTGAGGCTAGTTCCACAGCAACTTAACATTTCAACAATTCCTGTTTCTAAATCTGCTTGCCTTGTAGTGGTCCAGGGCATCTAGGGCCAGGCGGTATCCATCCGTGGAGAACACGGTTAGGGCAGCAAGTAGCTCAAATACCTGCATCTTCACCATGGTGTTGGAGGTGTCCAAGGCTGTGGAGCATCATGATCAAACACATCAGTACAGGTAGAGCGCTCACATTTCCCAAAGTTTTATCTTAAAGCAAGCCTTTCTCTCTGTTTGTTCCTGCTTATGCCTAAACACAAGCAGGACACTTTATTTCACTGCCTTTCAGGCAACTCAAATTGAACTTTGGCCTCTAAGGACGTGGCATTCTGCTGTAGACAAACATGCTTCTGTTTGAGGAGGGGAAATCCAATATTCACACCGCATTGTGACACCACATTTTTTTAGGGAATTCCTGAAGCAACCCCTTAAGATTCATCTTTATATGAAAAGCAGAGTAAAGAGTTAAAATAAAGTAATATTAATTCCATTGTCCCAATTCAAATTGCTTTTATATAATTTACATTTTATTGTGTGGGTACCAAATGATCTATGACACTGGATTTTTTTTAATATTGATTTATTTACTTCGATTTTTGTGTTTGTTAATATTGTCCTGCTGTTTTTGTGTGTGTGTTTTTTTTTTT